CGCATCGGGCCGCATCCCCCTTACTCTTCCCTTCTTGCCGCGTTCACTCCCCGCTGTCGTGGGCTCGGCGCGCAGGGCGGGTGACGCTGCCCACCTGCCTGTCACCTGCCTTCCCCAGCACCCTCCATCCGCGGCCTCCCCGGACAGCTCCCGGCTTCCCGGCTCTCACCTCCTCCAGGTTTAGGTACCCGCTTCTCTAACCGCACTGTTCCACCCTCGCCTGCCCCTCTCCCCACGCCGGTCTTCGCCTGGGGTCCGGCCAGTTTGTTTCTTAAGTTCCACGTCTCGGCGGGCGGCGCGTGCTTTCCTGGCACGTCCTTTTTGCTCGGTGTCTGGGGAGATACCTTCTCTCACCCTTCCTTGGCTGCCTCAGACTGGCTCCAGACTCGTCGTCCTTCGGTGCCTCCTTCTCTTTGCCTCTCTCCTTTGACATTTCCTATTCTCTGATGCATGGGGGAGGGATGAGAAGAGTGGGGAGTTTGGGGGGTAGGGAAGACGATGGGTCCAGCCTGGACTACCTCACCATTCCCCACTGCAGCCTCTAGGGATTGGAGCCTGACCCCAGGATGCTGTCCCCAGACTCCTCTTGAAAAGAGGAGGAACTCATATTTGGGAGAGAGGTGGCGACCCCGGAGTGTTTTATAGACCCTCTGTATGGGGACTGTCAAGTTGGGGCTCCGCTTGTTCAGACAACCCCGCTTCTTCCTGTTCCAACATCCAAGGAAGAAATGCCAGCCTGGCAGCCATCCGGCTTGGGGAAGTCTAGGGGAACCCCACTGTCGGTGAAGCTGCTGAGGGGCGAAGGCTGAGGGGCTGCCCGTGCCCCTCCCCTCGTCACTGCGGTGTTCTCCCATCTGGTCACGAGACGTACCCCGCCCCTACTGCAGTGACCTCCCCTTCCTCACTGCATTGACCTTTCCTCTCTCCATGGGGGAGGGAAACCCCTTCTACAGTGGCTGACTGCAGCCTGCTCCTCCCCACCCCCTACCCACTGCAGTAACCTCTTTCCCGGCCCTCCCAGCCTCTGGCCCCTCCCACCGGCCTCAAGCTCCACCCTTCTAAGCCTCTGATCTTTCTCCTTCCTCCACTTCCACCCAAGCAGATCCCAACCATCATCATGTCTATAGAGAAGATCTGGGCCCGAGAGATCTTGGACTCCCGTGGGAATCCCACCGTGGAGGTGGATCTCTATACTGCCAAAGGTGATGGGCGGGGCATGCGCTTTCCACAGCCCCCACTTCCCCAATGCTGCGTCTGGCAGGTTTCAGAGGTTTTCCTTCATACCCAGGGCCAGGGGGTGCTAGGCCAGGTCCCACAGGCTGGATTGTGGAGTCTGAATTTCCTTGACTTGCGGAGCTAAGCTAGATGGGTCTGTGTTCTAGTTCAGAATGAGAAAGGCCCTGGGGCCTCTGTCTGTCTGTGTGCCTGTGCGAGCCCAGGAGCACGCATGCTCTGCCTAGCATAGCTTTGTTTCTGTGGCCTCCCACACGTGCCTGTGAGGCCTCAGATGGGCGGATGAGGGGGCCCTGCTTGTGCAGCTGACACAGTGTGAGTGTGTGTGAATCTGCCAGGGGTGTCAGGGAACAGTATGGGGCGAAGTCTGGACGTAGCACGTAGGAGTTGAGGCTGGAAGGCTCAAAGAAGCCTTGGCCCAGAGCTTCCTCCCTCCTTCCTCCTCATTGTGTCTTCTTCCAGGTCTTTTCCGGGCTGCAGTCCCCAGTGGAGCCTCCACTGGCATCTATGAGGCCCTGGAGCTAAGGGATGGAGACAAACAGCGTTACTTAGGCAAAGGTGACCACATCCCTCTCCTAGCGGGCCCCATCTCTTCCTTTCCTCTCCACCCCCTCCTGGACTGACCAGGTCTTCTTCCTCTTTCTAGGTGTCCTGAAGGCAGTAGACCACATCAACACCACCATTGCACCAGCCCTCGTCAGCTCAGTGAGGCCCGCTCTTTCCTGGGGGTGGCTACTAGACCAGAGTCCTAGAAGAAATCTTGGATCCAGGGAGGGACAAGGGGATGCAGAAAAGTCCACACTTTAGGAATTGTGGTTACAAAGGGGAGCTGGGAAAAACACTGCTTGCTGCCCCTGCAGGAACTCACGGTCCCTAAAACTGGCAGGGCACGCCACTGTCACAGGAATCTGGTGGTACCCTACTCACATGGAAGACTGTGTGTGAATGAGGGGGCCCTCTGTCTTAGGGCCCGGCCTCCATGTAGACTCTGGGTAATGGGGGCTCTGCCCACAGGGTCTTTCCGTGGTGGAGCAAGAGAAACTGGACAACCTGATGCTGGAGTTAGATGGCACTGAGAACAAATGTAAGCAGGCGCTGGGCTGGACCAGGACAGCACAGAGAGCTGAAGGGGCTGGGCTGTGGACGCAGTGTCAGAGGGCCTCCTCCTCCCTCCCCCAAAGCCGCTGCGGAGGGTGGGTGTGACATTAGACAGGGAGAGACATAAAGACAGGAGTTGGTATGAGGTAGTCCGGGGGATGTTTAGGGAGAGGTGAGGCCTTCTCTTTCTTGTCACCTCCTCCCCCAACCCCACTATTTGTAGTAGAAAATGAATGAGTTGCTGCTGGAGGTTGGGGGCGGGGTGGGGGTTGGGAAATCTCATTTGCTAGCTTTTCTAGGGAGTACTAGGTGGGGAAAGGGAGAGAGAGAGACATTTTTGCTCAGTGTCTTCCCCTGTAATCTCCCAGCCAAGTTTGGGGCCAATGCCATCCTGGGTGTGTCTCTGGCTGTGTGTAAGGCTGGGGCAGCTGAGAGGGACCTGCCCCTATATCGCCACATTGCTCAACTGGCTGGGAACTCGGACCTCATCCTGCCTGTGCCGGTGAGCCTGGCCTCTTCCAAAGGAGGAGGGAGCATGCAGTCTGGTGAGGGATGAGGGGAAGAGAGGATGGGGATGTGAGCCTGGCACTGGGGGGGCTTTGGGCAGAAGGGAAAGGCTCTTTGGCTCTCCTGTGACTCTGTGACTCTGACCATCTGTGGCTCCCCAGGCTTTTAATGTGATCAATGGTGGCTCTCATGCTGGGAACAAGTTGGCCATGCAGGAGTTCATGATCCTCCCAGTGGGTGCTGAGAGCTTCCGGGATGCCATGCGACTTGGGGCAGAGGTGTACCACACACTCAAGGGGGTCATCAAGGACAAGTATGGCAAGGATGCCACTAATGTGGGGGATGAAGGTGGCTTTGCTCCCAATATCCTGGAGAACAGTGAAGGTGAGGCCGGGAGCCCTTACTCCAGCTCTGAGTCCCACACCGGGAAAGGTGGCACACGTGGGCCCTGAGGGGTACTGGTAGAGGAAGGTCCTTGAACTTCTGAAAATCTCAAGAGGTACCAGCCCTTAGGGTGGACTCCAGGAAGCCTTCTGATTTCACATGTGCATGTGGTTATCAGTCTCTTACCTGCCCAGCCGAGTCTGTTAGCATAGGTCCTCAATGGAACTGGTGAGAATATTGGGAAGTGGTCTGGGTAAGGTCCATTTCCTCCTGTAATGCCACAGACTTAGATGACATATACCATGCTGGAGGGAGGTAATTACCCTTCAGTGCCATCCCGTCCCAGCCTCTTAGAAGGTGTCTAGGATCACTACATTCTCTGTGCTGCAGAAGGGGGACTGTAAAGGTTAACAGTGAAGGTACTAGCAGGAAGTATGGCTCAGAGGCAGAACACCTGCTCAGCCTGGCTGTGGCCACCACCCCCCACACAAATGTACATATATGCGCATGCTTGTGGGCACACACCCGCACACACACACACACACACTCACACACACACACACACACACACACACGCATGCATGTTGACACACAGTCGTGCACAGACTGCTCTGGAATCAGATTTCTTGCATTTATTTGAACATTGCAAAGTTATTGGCTGGAATCCCCAACACTTGTGAGGCTAAGGCGTATGGGTTGCTACGAGCTTGAAGCCAACCTGGGCTACATAAAACCATGTCTAAAAAGAAAGAAAAGAGAATAATAATAATAACAACAATAAAGATGCAGAAGTGGTCTGTTTAAGAGCCACACATTTGCCAGGCAGTGGTAGCAAACAACTTTAATCCCAGCACTGGGGGGGGAAGGGGGGGCAGAGGCAGGCAGATCTCTGTGAGTTCAAGGCCAGCCTGGTCTACAGAATGAGTTCCAGGACAGCCAGGGCTACATAGAGAAACCCTGTCTCAAAAAACAAAAACAAACAAACAAACAGGAAGGAAAACAAAATAAAATAAAAGATCCAAGCATTTGAGCAGGGCATGGAGGTGCTCACCCTTAATTCCAGATAGAGGAAGGTACATCCCTGAGACTCTCTGGGCAGACCAGGTTGACCTTAAACTCAGGAATAATGCAACTTCTATAAATTTCTTTGAGGACTAAGTGAGATAATATATGTAAAATGCTGATACCGTACCAAAGAAAACCACTAGGAGCTGGAGAGATGGCTCAGCGGTTAAGGACACTGGCTGCTTTTGGTTCTCCACACCCATGTGATTTCAGGGGACCTAACACTCTTCTGGCATCTGTGGGCACCAGTATGGACATGGAGCAGATACATATATGTAGGCAAAATACTTAATACACATAAAACAAAAATGAATTTTAGATAATCTTAAAGTGCACACACACACACACACACACACACACACACACACACACTGCTTGCCAGGCCTGGTGGTGCAAACCTGTCATCCCCAACTACTTAGAGGCTGAGGAAGGAGAATTGAAAGTTCAAGGCATGTCTAAGCTACAGAGTGAGTTCAAGGCCAGCCTGCATAACTTAGACCCTTTCTCAAAATGAAAACGAAAAGGGGGTGGGAATGTGGCTCAGGGGCAGAGAACTTGCCTAAATGAATGAGGCCTTAGGTTCAGGGCCCAGCACCAGGATGTGGTGTGGTGGAGTGGGAGTGTAGGGGACGGTTGGGAGGAGGGGGACCAACACTACTAGTAACAGAATCCCTCTCCTCTGTCTCCCCAGATAGTCTCTCCCCAGACCTTAGTTAGCCACACCTCCCCTACAGCAGTCCCCTCCTTACACTGTTCATTTTTTTCCTTCCTACCTATTTCTCCTACTTATAACTTCACTGTGTTTGTCCCTAGCCTTGGAGCTGGTGAAGGAAGCCATCGACAAGGCTGGCTACACGGAAAAGATGGTGATTGGCATGGATGTCGCTGCCTCTGAGTTTTATCGTGATGGCAAATACGACTTGGACTTCAAGTCTCCCGCTGACCCTTCCCGATACATCAGTGGGGACCAGCTGGGGGCACTGTACCAGGACTTTGTTCGGAACTATCCTGGTGAGAGCTAGGGCTGTGGGAGATAGAAAAGGGGGAGAAGATAAGTAGTCAGGGTCCCTGTAGGACAACCGTGAACTTTATGGGGTGCAGTCAGGTGCTAGGTGATGTCCCGCGGAGCCTGAGAAGTAGGGAGAAGGGGAAGGAGGTTCCTGCAGAGCTGTGCTTTGAGTGTCATGGCTCTCCTCCGTCTGTTTCGGAACCTGGGTTCTAAGAGCTACTGGGTCCTAGGGAGGACTCTGGAGGGAGCAGGGATGGGAAGACCTGGATGGATGGAAGAGAAAAGTGGCAGGCTTGGGTATCTTTGACGAAGGTAGATCCTGAAAGAAGTTGGCACTGCTGCCTGGGAAGGATCACTGAGTTAGAGTCTCCATGTCTACCAAGGGCTTCTACCCCACTCTGTGGAGGCCACTGTCCCCATCTTCCTGAGACAGAGTTAAATAGATACCAGTTGAGAAGGAAAGAGTTAGACTAGCAATGAGGAAGGACTTCCAGGCAGTAAGACCAGAACTAAGAGAGGGTATGAAGAATGTCAGCTCCCTGGTCACTGAAACTTGTATGAAATGATAGGAATCCGGGCAGGCTTGCTTGGGAAGGAGCGGGGACAAGCATGAGGAGGCTTTGCTGGGTGGCAAGTCAAAGGAGGGTGTCCCTCCAGAGCTCAAGAAGCATCAACAGTCCCTGTCCACTCCCTCCCCAGTGGTCTCCATTGAAGACCCCTTTGACCAGGATGATTGGGCAGCTTGGTCCAAGTTCACAGCCAATGTCGGCATCCAGATAGTGGGTGATGACCTCACGGTGACCAACCCAAAGCGTATCGAGCGGGCCGTGGAGGAAAAGGCCTGCAACTGTTTGCTGCTCAAGGTCAATCAGATTGGCTCAGTCACAGAAGCCATCCAAGCGTGAGTGGCTTCCGGCCTTCTCCCACCTGGCCCTTGTTCCTTCAGGGTTCCTCTTCCAAGTCTTCCTAGCCCGATTCTGCCCTGGAATGTTGATGAAACCCTCTCACTTTTATTCTCTATAATCCATGCTCCATCCCCATTTTCCGTTTAGTCACTTTCCTCCAGGTGTTTCTTAACATAGACCAAGCCTGGGGCCGGGAGGGAATACCTGTGCCTTGGGGCAGAAGGTCAGTGCCGGTGTATACTACAGGTGCAAGCTGGCCCAGGAGAATGGCTGGGGGGTTATGGTGAGTCATCGCTCTGGAGAAACAGAGGACACATTCATTGCTGACCTGGTAGTGGGACTGTGCACAGGCCAGGTGAGTAGAGCTAGTCTGAGGTATTAGGAGAGCTATTTATAGGGCTGATGGGTTCTAGGCCCAGGTAGTTACTCTTCTGACGGAAGATCGAGAGTCAGAGAAACTTCAAGAGTAGAAGTTTTGCCAGTCATTGGCATCATACACCTTTAATCTTAGCACTGGGGAGGCAGGTGGATCTCTGTGAGTTGGAGGCCAGCCTGGTCTTATAGTGAGTTCTAGAACAGCCAAGACTACACAGAGAGATCCTGTCTTACAAACAAGAGTTAACAGGGTAGAAGTTGTGAGCTGGTGAGATAACTCAGTGGTAAGGAGCCCAGTGCCGGGCCTGGCTGACAACGCTGAGTTTGGTTCCTGGGATTCCCACATTAGAAGGAAACAACCAACTCCCACCAGTTGCCCTCTGACCTCTTCATGCACTCCGTTGCATGAGCAGACTCTGAGACATATAAACAGACACAAAATGAATAGGGTATTGACTTTTACAATTCATTTACAATTCAATTAATTAACACAAATGCAGAGTAGAAGTTTCAGGGCTGGAGGTTTAGCTCAGTTGCAGAGTGCAAGGTCCTGGGTTCTATTAAAAAAACAAAAAGTAGTGTATGATGGGTGCACGCCTTTAATCCCAGCGCTCAGGAGGCAGAGGCAGGAGGATCTCTATAAGTTCAAGACCAGCCTGGTGTGTAGGATGAATTCCAGGACAGTCAGGGCTACACAGAGACACCTGTCTTGAAAAACCAAAATAAATAAACAGACAACCTGGACTTGGTGGCACATGCCTTGGGAAGTAGAGGCGGGAGGCTCAGGAATTCAAGGCTAGCCTGTCACTTTTGAGGCCAACATTCATGAAACTGTCTCAAAATTTTAAAAATGGAACTGGAGGGAGTTAGGGTTGTTTGAGCAGGTGAAGGAAATCTTTAAGTTGCATATCCCCTGGAATGTTTCAGATCAAGACTGGGGCCCCATGCAGGTCTGAACGCCTGGCGAAGTACAACCAGCTCATGAGGTGAGGAGGGTCCCTGAAGGACAAGAACCCGAGACCCGGGACTAAACACCCCATTAGGCCATCATTCCATCTCTATGGTTCAGGACCAGGATAGGAGTTGATGCCAAGAAAATACTTTTGCTTAGTGGGTTTAGGGATGGTCCGATTGACAGATTGCTAAGGTCACACTAAAGCCAGGGAATGTTCACCCCGGGGTAGTCTTCAAAGGAGACTGGAGGGACCCAGAGAGAAAAGCAGGTCCCTCCTGCTCCCCTGACTGCAATCCTTCTGGATCATCTCTCAGAATTGAAGAAGAGCTGGGGGACGAAGCTCGATTCGCCGGACATAATTTCCGAAATCCCAGCGTGCTGTGAGCCCTCTGCTTGCCTGAAGACTGGACCCTCCATCTCACCCTCCTGAAGCCTCCTTCTTGCTGTCCTGACCTGCCTTAGTTCACACTGATACCTTGAGCCCAAAGTCACCCAGAACACCTCAACTTACCTGCTCTGGCTGCTCATGGTTGCCACAACCCCTTGCTGTCTCTGCTCTTCCTCCTCTCTGGACCCGTTTTTGGGATTCCATTCTTCCCACTTTCCTGTCTATTCTCTCTTCTAAAAAGAAAAAAAAAAAAGAAGAAGATGCTGGAAGTGGGAATGAAGATTAGGAGGTGGTCTACAGAAGAGCCATCGTTGTGTGACAGGAGCTTCAGGGCTGGTGTGCTGATGTATTTAGAATGGGGCCATGTGGCTGGCGGCACACATGCTTTCATGTTGTTTTTCATGTTGTGTATAAGCCATGACCTATGCATAGAGCTGGTGTTTGGGGAGTGCTGGATGTGTGATCATGTTTGGTAAGGCTTTAGTGTGTGTGTGTGTGTGTGTGTGTGTGTGTGTGTGTGTGTGCATGCGTGCACACATTTATTTATTTATTTATTTATTTATTTATTTATTTATTTATTGTTCAGCTTGTCAGTCAGTCAGATCCCCATAACTATAGTCTGAAACTGACATAACTTGACAGGACTCGGCATCTGTATTTCATGTGTCTGCATCCCAAGGCCTGGGATGGGCAATTTTGCTAGCATGGGAAGGGTAACAGAAAAGAGCCTTAGCGATGATTTCACCCAGTGCACTAACTGAAGCTTGTACTTCACAGAATGTCGCTGTGTGCCTGGAGGGCTTTTCCCCACGACTCTCTCCCCAGCCCTAGGTCTTTCTCCAGCTGCACCAGAGCACTGCCTCACCCCCTCCCATGCCACGTTCCAAAGTTACCATCATCTTTGTGGCTTTGAAATGAGCACCGCCATTAAAATCTGAATCACAGTGCACCACCCTGTGTCTGAGGAGTTTTACTCTCTGCTCCATAGGAGAAAAGGGGAGACAAAGGACTGGATACTGGTGAAAGTAGATAGCAGAGCCGGGGAGGACACAAAAATAGGAAAGCCACTGAACATATGACCAAGTCTGTGGCATTGCTGACTAGGTGGGGGGGGTTCATGTTGATTCTGCCTTCTTTTGTTTTTTTGTTTGTTTGAGATAGGGTTTCTGTGTAGCCCTGGCTGTCCTGGAACTCGCTCTGTTGGTCAGGGTAACCTAAGACTCCGAGATCTGATTTTATCTGCTTTTTTTCCTTTCTTTCTTTCTTTCTTTCTTTCTTTCTTTCATGAACTAAGGATTTTTAATGTTCGGTCAGGACTCCCTCAAATGTCAGGGTTAGTGTGTGTAAGAAGTAAGGTGTTTCTGGTTCCCAACATTTTTGACTAAAGAAAGAACAAAATGGTAGACTAAAAACTAGAAATTCCTGTGCGGCTTCCTTAACAGAATGTTGGATGGCTTTGAATGAGACAGGACCTTCTTTCTTTGGACTATGGAACGGAGGAGGAGGGGGAGGGAAGAATGGTATCAGGGTGGGGCCTGAGGAGTCTGAGTGCTTCAGTAACTGGGTGCAACACCTGAAGGGTTCAACAGCCTCCCCGGATGGCCAAACTGTCATGAGGATAACAGTGTGTGGCTAGAGGCCCTCTAACTTCTCAGCTCTGGTGGGACTGTGGTGTTGACCACCCAGGCTAGGGACCACCCTGGGGATCAAACCCTCTTATTTGATGACTATACTTTGGGTACAAAGGCTCACATTTTCAGGCAGCATCTGCCCACGGGTAGCTGTGGCCACTAGAGGGAGCCCAAGTTATTCAGGATACCATTACTAGATGCCAAGGTGAGGTAGGGGTGGGAAGAATTTCAAGGTTGCACCCTCTGCCAGCCTCTCATATTCTAGAGTACTGGTCCCAGGTTCCCCCAGCCTTCCTTCCCATTCTAGGGCTGGTGAATGGGCGGGGGCCACATTTCTTTTTGCCCTCCTTCCTGTATCCTTCAGCTATTTTCAGTTCCAAGAACTTGCTCTCTCTCCTTCCCGGTACCTCTCAATCTCGTCTTTCCTTTCTCTCCTAGCACCCCAGTATGTCTCCCATGGGGCTCACAACACTTTTCCCTGCGATCACGTTCTCAGAAACTCCCAGACTGGCCAGAGCTATTGTAGCTGCAGCCACCTTTGCTAACCCTGCCTTTTCTTTCCTCCTTCCCGGCTAGGTGTCTCTCTGACAGCACTCCCACCCCCTCCAGGTACTGGGTTGGATTGGGTTACAGCTAGTTCTGCTTGGGCCTCCAAGGCCCCTCTCTACTTTCCTTTTGTGCCGTTGCCTGGAGACCAGTGGGTTGTGGGGGGCTGGGGCCAGAGAAGGAGCTGGGGTGAAGGATGGGGGTGGGGTGTATATGTGATGCTCCCAGCAGCCAAGTTATGAGCCTGGCCTTGGGTACCAGAGGAACCAGAAGGGGTAGTGCTGGTTTCTTTTCCCTGTCTCATCCCCTGTCCTTATCTAAGGCCTAAATGATTTTTTTTTTTTTTTTTTAGGCTTAGATAAGTTACCATGTTGGCGTTTGCCTTGGTGGTTAAACAAGGAGAAAAACTGCTCAGTCTAGAAAAGATTTGGAAAGGGCCTGGGCCAGGCCCAGTGGGAAACTAAAGGAAAAAGAGGAAATGCAATGGGGAGGAGGGAGGAGGGAGGAGGGAGGAGGGAGGAGGGAGGAGGAGTCTCAGAGCAAAATTAGTTGGTGGAGAGGAGAGAGGCTGTCCTGGTGCAAAGAGGAAAAGAAGCGTGGTGCACAGGAGGGCAGAGAGCTGACCTGGTCTCTGGGAGGCCCCGGAAGGGGGCAAGAAGCTGGGCATTCGGGTAAAGTGAATGTCAGCAGAGTGGGGTGATGGTGGGAGGATTCTCACTGTTTCCCCAGTGCTTGGGAATCTGTTGAGAGCTTTGGGGTAAGTTCAAGAACTTGGCTGAATCTGGCCTAAGGAATGGTGACACAAAATCTACTGAGTTGACGCAGGACAGCCTTCCCCCTTCCTTCCCGAAAGGCAGTCTGCCCATCCAGTGCCCCCTTCGCCACCCGCTTGGTTTGCAGCTAGACTAGCCCCACAAACGCCCTACCCCCACCCCAAATCTGGTGAACTACTGAGGGCTCCCAATCCAGACTCCAGCTCCAGTTCTTCCCGTCTCCCAGCCTGCCTCCCTCCCTTTCTCGAGCCTTCCCAATTTCAGCAGCCAAAAATCACCCTGTCTCTAGTGTCCTTTGTCCTAAGAGATGTTGCTGCTTGGTGTGGGGCCAGACGGGGAGCCAGAAGAAGGCACTGGTGGACCAGTGGGGGTGCTGACTCCATGGCTGTAGACCGGACATGACTGACACATTGACAGGAGGAGAGTTAGGAACACCATGCTGTGGTCTGTGGTGAGGACTGACTCCATATTCCAACAATTGTTATAGGCAACCAGGGGCACCTCAGGGTGCATACAGGTCCTTTCCACTCCATCCCTTCTGTGACCATGGCCGAAGATGCTTAGTAGTAATGACTTCAAGCAGACTTGAGGAGGAAAACGGATACGCCAATGGAAGGGTCCAAATACGAAGTGCCATTCCTCAGTTACCTCTTACAAGCCAGGGCCTGCCGCCCCCATTCTGTCACGTCCCCGTAGTGTTTTCCTTTTCCATCTTTAGCTCTTCTCTTTTCCCATCACCAACCCTCCCTCCATGATGCCACGAAGACCCTATTTATTTTGTACTTTCTTCCCAGTCCGCTCTAATTCATTTTCCTCCAATTTATTTGCCAAAGGAAACAGTTCTTAGTTCTATTGAAAGTCTCCACCCTCGGTTTTACCAACCCACCCCAAACCCCAGTCTCCCTCTAAATAGGCATCTGGTCCCGCCTTTTAAAATCTCTCCTGAGATCTCTCATGCCTTCGCTCCCACGGAGGTATCTGGACTACCCCTCCCACCACCAGCTTCCCTTCATCACTCCCAAATTCTTGTGGTTTGCATTCTTTTCAACACCAATCACCCCTTAAACGCTTATCTCTTCCAGAAACATCGGTCTATTAGTATGTCTTCATCTTTTTATCCTTTTCCGTCCAGGTCTCCAAACTTCCATCGTATTCTCCCCGAAACGCCCCTACACACCTCCAGTCTAAGGCTCTGGCCCTTCCTCTCCATCTTCCCAATTCAGCCCCATTATCCCAGTCTCTACTTCAGTGCCCCCTCAAACTCCTCCCACTCCACCCCTGCCACAGCCCCTCGCCCCCAAACTTCTCCAGCCTCCCCACGTCTGCCCTCACAGCCCACAGCCCCTCCCAGCCGGCCCTCTCTCGCGCCGGGCCCGCGAGCTCCCCACGCTCTGCGCCGCGAG